TCAGTGACAGGACAATGTTACTGACAAACAACTGTGGTGTTCTCCTGCTCTCATTTTCCAGTTACAGTAAATGATAAGGTGTGCATCCCGTCCTGCTCTGGCAAATGTGTTATGACTTTTTGTTGCGAAACCATTTCCACAGACTGATAGTGGCATGTTTGTGATTCTAGCGACATCTTCTGGTGGCTCTGTTCAAATTGAACACAGCTGCACACAGTTCTCTTTAGCACCACTGGGAGGCAGTGTAGCTCTGCTCATCAAATCAATGGTCGCTACAAAGAACAATGTGCATCTTTTTCCCTTGACTCAGAAATGAGTTTGTTGCAGAAACATTTTCTAACACGAGATTCTAAACAGTTTCCAGTTTTAAGGGGGGATGGGATGGGGTAAAAATAATGCATTGGCTCTAATAGCTGCTAATATCCCCCTTTTCTGAGAATTTACTACTGTAACCAATCCTAATTTAATCCGAATAAAAAGAGAAAAAAGAGAATAAAAAATGTATAAACATAAAAACAGCAACAACCTTTTCCGTTGATGCACTTAAGGCAAAATATGCCTCATAAACTATATATGCAGATTTCATGTATTCCTCATAAAAGCAGTTCAAGATGTGACTCTGGAGCTATTGGCTGACACCTCGTCACATGGGACATGTGAAGATGGACTCTGGGGAAAAAGACAGAGATGAGACCTGCTTTCTGATCTTGCGGCCAACCATGTTTAATATTTATTTTGGATGGCAGAGCTGGGAACTGCTTCTGCACAGAGGGTGCAAGAATTCAGCAAGCATCTGCAGACTAATGTGTCAGGAGCAGTAAACTGGGAACTGCAGAGACGAAGGGCCTCAACAATAGCTTCACACTTTCACTGTAGTCACAGAGAAACAGATGATCTGCTGTGAGGATACTGTGGACGTAGGAAAGCAGTAGCACTACTTCTTTTGGCTTTAGTGCTTTAGGGTGTATTCATGCAGGGTGGGGAAGTCGGGCCTGGTACTGGAACTGAACATGGAAATACTGAGACTGTGTGTGTGTGTGTGGGTGTGTAATCCAGGTATTCCTCGAGTTGTGGGGACATATGGCTGGTTACACAGTCAGTAAATCATAAAATGTCAATCTTTTGACATTTTAAATTGAAGACATGTTTTGAGGTTAGGGTAGGGTTAGGGGTTAGGTGCAGTGTTACGATTGGGGTTAGGTTTTTTATGTAAAGTTAGGTTTACATTTGGTTTTGAGTTAGAGCTGGGGTTATGTTTAGATTAGGTTTATTGTCCAGTTAGGATTAGGGTATAGGGTGATGGTTAGGTTGGGGACAGGGGACACCTTAAGTGTCAAGAGGAGCATGGACAACAGGGTACACATCATGGGTTAGGGTTAGGGGTTTTCTTATACATCATTTAATTATGGCCAACAGAGGGTGTAGGAGGATATCCAGATGAATAGGTTTGTGGAAGATTGTCAATGATGACTTCTGAGGCGTCTTAATCGAATCTTGATCTCTGGACCTGTTCCTCTACCGTTCCCTGTGGCGAGCAGTTGAAGGTGGGCCACTAGAGCGGTAGGGAGGCAATCACAATCCTGCTACTCCTAAGAGTGCCTTAAGGGGCGTTAAGGGCAAGGGTTAGGGTTTGGGTTTATGTTTAGCTTTATCTTAGGTTAACTTAGGTTTGCTCATAGGTTTAGGTTTAGGTTAAGATTTGGTTTAGGTGAAGAGGGTTTTGGTTAAGAGTAGGTAAACGTTAAGGTTAAGTTTGAGGTTAAGGTTGAGATAAGGGTGTGGGGTAGGCAAGTATTAGGTCAGTGTAACTTTGTCTGGAGACATGAATGTATGTGTGTGTGTTCTCTCTCCTGGTTGTACAGATTGACCTTGCAATGTGACAAGTGAGAAAGAAAACTGAAACATCTGGATCTCATAGATAAGCTTTTGGTCTTGGTATGAAAGTGACCCTCCATCTGAAGACAGTGACTGATGCCATCATGATGCATGTGTCACTCAGGCCTATTTATTGAAATCGCCGTGGAGATCGCCTCCTCTTCCGCTGCATGTAAAACACTGGAGGGCGGTACCACTGAGCCTGGGCCTGTATGGGAAGCTCTATTATTTCCAGCTGTGGATGGAAACTATTACTGAGCGCTTTCTCCATGATGAGCTTCACACACACACACACACGTACACACACTCCTACGAGCACCCAGTCAAACATTCAGGCCCACGCTGAATCATTCACTGAGGAGAAAAGACACTGTGTTGGCCTTAGAAAGAGAGAAAAGGGAGGGAGTGTGTGTGAGAGAGAAAGAAGAGCAGTGGTTCCCTCCTTCTTTTTCATTCACTTCCCCTCTCCGTCTGCTCTGAGGAGACCTCAGCCTGCACTCGCCTGTAAGTACCGCACAACTTGTGCTGCCACTCGAGCTAAAGCATTCGTATCACAGGGAAATACATCTTCACAATTCAAAAAGAGGTTTGTTTTTCCTCTGTTATCGTCATGTGACAGACTAGAGTTGTGATTGAGTAGTTTTGTGCTGCACTGCTCCTGACACAGATTTCAGCATCATGTTGTTGTTGTTGTCCTTCATCACTGGATTTGTATTATCACTGGAAACCACTGTGACCAAATAGATAAAGCTGTTTATCTTTGACCTGTCATTGTGATTTCCCCCTGAATGTTGTTGAGCAACAGTAGAGTGGTTCTATGGGAAATGGTATGAGGGTGTATGAGAAAGATTTTATTTTATCATTGTCAAATATTTTATTGTTTGCTTGTGGTTGTGTCTGAAAGCTGCCTCCTCCTTGTGGTGTTACTTGTTTTTGTCTGTAACTTTCATGAGCGAATATTTTCCGCTCTGTCATTTTTTTCACCAAACTTCTCAAAGTGAGCATCCTGTGAGCAGCAGGTCCCATGAGGATTTATCACTGTACTCGAGGGATGTTTGTCCTCGTTGTCCAACGCTGTGAGTCTTGGGACGTGCACGGCTCAGAAGAATGTTGTTTACTGCTAAAATAAACTCTGATGCTTTTGTGTTTGTGTTTTGACATTCCACAAGTCGTACCTCAGAGAGCGACCTGTGGTATGAATGACACATACAGCAGTGTATGATGATGTCCAGTGCTGCTCCTTATCTCTGCTTTGTGGCTTGTTTATCTGTGAACTCGTAACTCTCTGCTTATATCTTCCTATTTAATGATGATTTTATCTTGTGATTTTTGCAGACTTGCTGTCTCTTGTTTTCTCTGAGTATTGGAGTTGGTAAAAAGAAAAAGCCCAGGGCTGTAATCATTGAGTAATTTGATTTTTGATTACATAACAGATTTATGTCATGGTTTATTCACTTGCTGGAATCTTCAGCTGTCAGGATTTTTAATGAGCTGCTGCAGTAACGTACTGGCACATACCTCTCAGTGTGTTGGGCCTTTATACAGAACTGTGCTGGAATCCATCAGTGTGAGGAGGTGGGCTGAGGGTCATGGCTCTGTCCTCCTGTACTGACAGTGTTGCCCTGTAATAAATGCCCTGTCTTTGTTTGGCGAAGAGACAAGGATTCAGTGTGGGAGACGTGTTGAGTACAAGGCCAAAGCAGCAATCACGGCTTGCGTGATTACCTCATTTAGACCCTGTTAGCTGCGGAGTGGCAGGGTGTCAGATGTGGTCACAGCGGGGCGAAGGTTTGCTGCAGTGGGACACAGATTTTGAAGGGGGGGGCCTCCGGTGCTAAAGCCTGCGCTGGCCTAGCTCGCCACTTCAGGTTCAGCAGCTCAACCGTTTGGCAAAAACAGCCCAGTGAGGAGTACAGGCTCAGTAAATGGATATCTGCCCCGCTGCACCAAGCCAAACCACTGAATTATTAAAAAAGCTGAGGACTTCAATTTCAAGGTGGAACTGGGCAGCATGCACACAAACACACACACACACACACACATGCATGCACAGTTGTGTCTCCATGCCTTCAGAGGACATCACATTGACATGTATTGATTTCCTGGAGACTTACTCTAACTCTAACCATAGTTACTATTTGTCTAACCCTAACTCTTACCCAAACCTTAACCTAACCTTAAATGAAACCTTACCCTAACCCAACATTACCTTAAACCCAACCTTTACCTAACCTTAACTTAAACCTAACGTTAACCTAAACATAAACCTAAACCTTAATCCTAACCTTAACCTAAACAAACCATAAAACATGTCGGTTATGGGGACTTGCCGTTTGTCACCGTAAGTCCCCATAGTGTGTTAAACAGATACACACACACTTGCATATAACATTTTTCATGAAGGTTTTTGCCAGGGCTTAGAATGACATGTGGCTTAACAGCTGATTGTGTTCGTCAGCAGGTGAGCGGATCACTCACCTGCAGGGTGGACCTTGTCACTCAGTCCTCGTGCTGCACACTCCAAAGTACAAGTCCAAGTGCCAAAAACAAGCCCGTCAGCAGGTTGGATTTCAAGTTCTGCAGTTGTTCGTCTCTATTGGCAAGAAATGCAGGAAAACTGGTAATCCTTGTTTAATTTGGGCAAGTGGTACACGCTGGAGCACCAACGTGCTTTGAGAATGTGCTCCATTCCCTTTTGTTGTAGGCTCTGGTGTTGGAACAGTCAATCTTTCTGGAAATCGTCTTATCAATACACTCATTGCATCTTCAACTTGGATAATAATTTGATGTTGAAAAAGCAAATCATATTTTAATCTTTGTCCTTCAGTCGTGTTACTGCTGGTGAGTGTGATCATGTGAGATAAGTCTACAGGAGTTGTGGTGTCAGCGGTTGATTAGATGTTGTTGAGTAACGACTCTGAAACACTTCCAGAGCTAGTGGAACAAACAGAGCTCCTATTCTCCTTTCCTGCCTGAGACCTGGCCTTTGGACACACACACACACACACACACACTGAAAAACACATACACAAAAGGAGAGGGGGTGGGCATGGGAGAGATAAAGTTAGGAGGGGGTCCATGAAGTCATTGGTCAGTGTCTGGGCGGTGGAGGTGATGAACTATTTACGTTCCCCCTTGGTTAACCCTGCGCTGTGAAATATCACCTTATCGCAACAATAGGGCCGCTTCAGTGAAGGAGGTGCCCCGGACTGACGGGCCAAGAGCATGGGTGGCTTTTGAACGGGGGCCGAGGTGGGTTGCCATGGTGATGCCTGTCAACCGGGAAGTCCTTCGTGGTGGCAGGCAGAGCGAGGGCTCAAAGTGAGAGGGAGAGAGAGAGAGAGAGGGAAAAAGAGAGAGTGAGATAGAGAGGGAGCTTGTGTGTCCTGGCTAGTTTCATGAGTGAGAGGTGGAAGGAGCAGGGACGGTCTGCGGCGTGGTTTACGTGCAGGACAGAGAGGGAGAGAGGCGCAGAGGGGCAGCTTTGAAGGTGAGTGCACTCTTTCCCATGGGAGAGCAGGGGAGAGGGAGTGACATTCAATGTTGTGATTGCATGGGAACTTAATTTTGTTGGGCTGTTTTGCAACTGTGTTCTTGAAGGTTGAGTGAGCTGTCATGTCCCAGGTTGATGCTGACTGCTCAGGGCTTGTACACGCTGCTCTGCAGGATTAGTGCCTCCAGCCTTACCCAAGAGTTAGAGGGTTGCTTTTGCAGGGCACCTGAAAACAAGTTGACCCATGTGATGTGTGTAGTTTTGATGATTGAAGAGGATTGTGGGAGAGCAGCTCTGAGTTCAGCACAGACAGAGAGAGACAGAAGTTACCTATTAACCTGGAGATGCTCGTTCAGGGCTGGTTGAAGTGCTGGGGCTGGTTCAGAGTGGGTTCTGTGACCCTTCTAAAAGAGGGGGCACAGTGGGGAGTGTTTCCCAACATGCCGTCCTTTAGAGCAGATATCAACCCTCACGGCCCCTGGACTGTGCAGGCATCACTGGAGGCTCCCCTTACTGTCAGGGTGATTTCCACAGCAGACTCTGATTCCCTTTGTGATATTACTGAGGGGTCCAGCTGCCAGCGCTCATATCCACCAACCGCACTCAGCTTTGAAGATACAAAATGACAGGCGTGAGGATTTGCGACGTTTTCCGCTGGATATTGTGTTTTGAGCGTGTATTTTTCAGTCAGATTTTACTTTAAGGGATTAGCCAAGCTGATAAAGCTGCACAGCTCTTCAGCCCCAGTGTTGGGCTCCTCTCGAAGAAAAGAGGCTGTGATTTATTGGCATGCAGCTCCTCCTGGGAACAAACCGCCTCTCCATTGACAAGAAGCACACAGACTGTGACTCCTCCTGGTGCTCAGGCTTGGAGGAGCACCATACAAGGTGGTGAAATACTCCCCTTCTGATAAATGTGTGTATCCCCCCAATAACTGCATATCATGAACTTGCAGCTCCAGGACCTTTTATGGGCTGCGTACACACATCTGTGAAGTTGCAAGCGTGGTTGTGCTATCGGCATCACAGGACCCTTAACATCCCCCACGTAAACCACAGACTGACTCATCTCATGTGTTTAGAAACAAATGCCAGTTTTTTCTTAATCCACCTAATGTTCTTGCAAACACCTTTCACCTGTTTTATTGCAGGATCTCTTCACTTTTATTACTTTGTTATGTAACTTGTTGGCCAGCAGTTACATTAAGTGAGTGTTCACAAACAGGTGATAAGACTTCACACGTCACGTTGTTCCTGGGTAATATCCAAGAAGTAAACACTTCATTAAAGGAACAGAATCTGATTGCACTTTTTTTAAGAGTGCACGATTAGAGTGTTTGAAATTAACACCTTCTGCAAATATTGAGCGTATATTTTGGCCGGCTTGCTTTGTGTAGATCTGTGTATCGGACTGTTGCGGTGCAGCAGAGTGCAACCTCGCGGAGTCAATGATTAACCGCTCAGCACCCTGACACAGAAGCTGAGGAGAACACTCGTGCTAATGAATGCAGATCAGCTCAGTTCACCTTTGAGTGTTTTATTTAAGTCCATTGTCCCCGCTCTTCACCAACACAGTCTCCAACACTGTGATTTATGGACAACATGATCCTCCCTCTGACCACAACTCATGACTTTCCTGATCCAACAGATCACAGGAGTCTGTGACATATATTCATCAGGGCGTGCGTGGTCACCTTGACAGCCTCGTTCTTGGTGAGAACAATGTGGGAAGCTCAGTTTGTGGTGGAGGAGGAGGAGGAGGTCATCGCAGGTCAGAGTCCTCGCTCAGAAAGATCTGCTCTCATCCGTCTGTGGAAGAAAGAGGAAATGAGGAAAGTTTCATAAATAAAGAGCATTTTCGGAAGGGCACTTTTTAAAGTTGAGCTCTCAGTAGTAGTTGCAGTGGTGGAGGAAGTACTTTTTCTTTCACTTTGTTTTAACAAAGTTTAAATAAAAAGATAACAATCTACTCAAGTAAAAGTACCACATTCATTTTTCTTCTTGTAAAAGTCCATACTTGCAGAGATTAGCCTCTTCCCTAATGTACGACTACATCGTTAATTGCGCCTAAGGGAATATTTTGTTTGATACAAGAATAATACAAACTCTTTTGCTGGTGACCTGTCCAGGTTATACCCTGCCTCTCCCCCAGTGTTAGCTGGGAATGGGTCCAGCTTCCTGGGTGACCCTAAAAGGATAAGCGATAAAAATAACAGATGAGTGGATGGACAATACAGACTCTGTCATATCAGTAAAGAATGCTGCAAATGATGCTACTGAAAACACTTTGCATTACTAATTGTTGTTGATAATGGCTGAGTCTCCACCCCTTTATAATTCATTACAAGTGTTTCTTCACCAGTGATGCAGCTGCTGCAATGGGCGGGGTCTAATGTTACCTCCCTACTCTCATTAGATCAGTGAACCAATTCCCCTCTGGTTATTGGTTACTTTTAAAAATATATAAAATAAACTGAACATGTGTTGTAAAAATGTAGTAGAATATAGAGAGAACAGATATTTACTCTTACTATATAGGGAGTAAAAGGGAAACTATCTGAAAATACCTGAGTAAAGATATATGAAAAATATATTTAAGTATAGCAAAGTAAATGTATGATGGAATGATTTTTTCTTGTCAGATTTGTCTTGTTTTTTTGTTACTTTAACATGTGTTACTTGTGTTTGTGTTTTGTGGAAACAGTGATTCAGAGGAATCTCAGGGGTGTGGTGAAGTTCACTGACCTTGTAGCTGCTGAGTCAGTTTGGCTCAACAGCTTCAGATAACAGTCTGGTTCCACATCCGCTCCTTTAAGATATAAAGAAGAAGAAAAGAAATCCACACCCTCAAAGTAAAACAACTTTATTTTTTATGTCTTAACAGAAATGTTTCTTTTTAAATAGATATAGACTTATGTAGACTTCTGTTTCTAAGATTTACAGAGTTTAACATCTGGTCCAGAGACCGGATGAGTTTCCTGGGAACAGAGGCAGACATTTCCATAAAATAATCCCTTGATTCTCATTTTGCAAGTCCTCGTTTGCCCTGCTAAAATCTAAAACATGAGCCGAATGCTTCATGAGAAGTGTTTTCACGACACCAGTGTTGAAGCAAGACTTCATCTCATCTTCACCTGAGTCGCACATGGGCCTTTTATGGCTCTGTTTTTCTTCCATCGCAAAACCGAGGTGATAATGGAGCTCTCACCTAGCAGGGGTTTGACTTGTAAATACCTGGGCTGTAACGTCCACATATTTCTGAGCGATAGCATCAAGGGGCTCACACACGGCCAATTCTGGAGCCCTGTCTACCATGTGAAAGCTCATAGCCGCCTCCGCTACTGAGTCGCAGCAATTACATAAGAATGCACTGAGCATTCAGAGCAAACCCAGGGAGAGCCAGACAGGGATTTTCATTGCTCGATATCAACACTGATTTTTCCTTATTAGGTAGGATTGTGTTTGGTGAAGGGGGGAATGCGTGCAATGCTGGCGTCTTTCTCTGTAAAATGTTTGCTCCCCACAGAAATGAGACACAGAGACACTGTTATGACAAAGTTTAGTCATCAGGATGCAATTCCATGGGGCAGGGGTTTTTAGATGTTAGACTTCTGAGTGTTGCTAGAAAAAATATAAAAAGAAAAATTCAAATTTGACTCATTTTTATTTTATAGACTGTAGATAAAAGATCCCCACGCCAAAAAATATCCTGGATAGGAACACTGCTATTGTGCACACTTATAGGCAGAGTCTGTGCAGCGGCGATCGACGGTCAATCATGATGTTACACCCTGTTTTTATAGATTCAAATAGCCAAACTTACTGTGACAAAACTAACTGGGACACAAACACACATCAATGTAATAATAATAATATTAATAATAATAAAACAGGATAAAACAACTATGAAATTTAACAAACATTTGTTTTAAACAAGATAAGAATGACCTTAAATGACAGAAGCCATGTTTTAGAAAATTTGATTTGACATGTTACTATTATTATCATTATTATTATTTACATGCAAACAAAATCTCAGTTTCACAAAAAATTAATGTGTTGAGTTTGAAGAAAATTTGAGAAGCAGGGAAGGTCCAAAGAAATATGCTTTCGAGTTACATAATGGGAAATGTAGGATCCAGTGTTTTGGGAGGTTCAGGTCATCTCAGCCACAAGTTGTTTCAGTGTCTTGTTGAACTGTACGGAAGCTCAACATTGCACTGGTGGAGTGCTTTGTTTTATGAATACATGTATTCATAAATACATGACATTTTATTGTGTTGTTGTGAGCAGCAGTAAAATGACTATAAAAATTCTTGAGTACAATGTAATCGAATGTAACCACACCCATTGTGAAATGCATGAATATGGTAAGCAGCTGTCATGGAGTCGAGCAGCTACTGTTGATGCTTGAATGGCGCAGTTAACTTTTTGTTTTCTAAATTAAACAGGCGTGTTTGGAGATAATAATTCTTCAAAATGCCAATGAATTATTCCCCCAGTTATTTGTTCATCAGCGTGATGGGGCCTTCAAACTGAGCAGCAGCCATTAGAAAGTATGCAGTGTCGCCCATTGTTAGACGGATAATCAGCTGTGTGATTACAGCGATGACAGATCATTTATCAGGAATGACAGTAATGGTATTATCGCAGACACAGACCGCCACTTCCTATAGTTTTTCTGTTATGTAACCACATTTACTGGGAGATGATGAGTCTGATAGAGTGATTACTGTTGTCTGGAAACGAACATTGATTCTCTCACCACACAGGCTCAGTGATATCTCCTAACCTCGTGCACAGAGACACACAGTGCATGTAGTTTTCTCAGTCTTGACCACAATGATTATAGACTCTAATGTTCAGCTACAAATGCCACATGGAAAACTCATCAGTGCGAACTCAGCCTATGGTAGCCCGGCTCACACTTGGTTATTTCTCTCTTGCCAAGCTACAAAGCCTTAGTTTTCACCAGAGCATATAAAATATCATGTAGAGGGCAGGGTTAGAAGGATGGAAGGATGGAAGGATGTTTTTTCTTCAAAGATCAGTAGTCTCCACTTTCAGTAGCTTATCTTCTCCAGCATTCCCCTCAAGTCCAGCTTATTACATCATTGTATGACAGGGAATAATGAGGTAATCATGTGCGTCACACTCATTGTTTTTGGTGGGTTTTTCCACGGCAACAGGGAAAAAGTGGGTGACGCTAACTTTCCCTCTTTGGAATACTGGTGGGATGGGATAATGGAACAGTTGTCAGCTCTGCCCATGTTGTAAATGGGATTCATGACATGCAGACTTTGACTCAAAGAGTTAAAAGAGGACATGTTACAAGATTCAAAATAAACCTTCAGATTTATCAGTTATTTTTACAGACATTGATTAAAATTCTCAGATTTAAACAATGAAAGAATGTGCAATACTGAAAACCTATTTCTGTCTGAGCTACACTCTCAATTTCCTGTCTGAATTAGGACAATTTTATTCATTTTAAGCAATGCAACAATCAGGGCTTTGAATGTGAATATTTGATTTCATACAGAAATAATTAAGAGGTAAAACAAAGTTGTTTGGGACTTTCAAGCTCTCTAACAATTTATCTTAAGAAGTAAATCAGTCATTAACTGGACATATGTCATTTAAAACCTTACTGCAAATTCGATAAAATAATTCTGGCCTGAAATGATTTGCTCAAACATTGAGACAACACACAAACTTGACTAAAAGACCATTTAAAATTATTTTTGGTCAGCTGATGCTCAGCGTTGAAGGTGCTAGTTTATTTCCCTCTGCTAACATATACAGTGGTTAATATGCCTAGTAGGAATACTCCAAATTATTTGATGTTATTTCATATTAAAATGTTTGTATTCTCTGTGTCTGTGCAGATACTTTTGATGCTGGGAACTAGAAGTTGAAATCCATCACACAAGGACCCATGCAGTCTCAGGTAAAGCCACTTTTTAATATTTCATCTCAAACTGTCACTGTCCAGAATAACCAGAGAACAACAAGTCAGTCAAGTCCAGTGTCACATCAACAATAGGCCATTGGTGCAGACAACAATTCTCCCACTAGCCACTGTAGATGAGAGGCACAGGGGCTTTCCCATGACCCCCATGACCTGGCAACCGCACAGAGTGACCGAAGCACCTGATTGAAATATGTAGCGTTCCTATACAAGGGCTAGTCTGCCCATCACAAGTGGGAGGAGGTAAAAATCCCCATGGAAACCACAAGACTATTCCTAACCCTGCTGGACTTTAAGGTTGCCATCGACGACCCTTTCCCAACCTCCAGACCCCCGCTCCGCCCTCTGGCTGGAGAATAGCACAACCCGGTGAATAGGGAGTTAATGGGCCCATAATGGTGCTCTCCTGTTTCAGTGCCCCCACTCTGCACCTTGAATGAGGCCTTTCTGCCGTTGTAGCCAGAGAGATGATGAAGTGGGTGGAACACCACTTCCCACTGCTCCTGCTTTAAATAAATTAGAGGCCTTTTCATCAGAGCCCCCCCCCAACAGAGCTCAGTTATTCTCAGGAGAATAGCTGCGTCCCTAACAAGTCCACATGACCTCCTACAGAGCGTGGTGTTTATCCAGGGCCAGCAGGAGGACGAGACAGGAGCAAAGTTCACACATCGTTGTTGTTCATCCATATTTTCCCCTTTTCTTACATGTTTAGCAGCTTACGGAAGTAGTCCATGATCCGAATGGATCCCGGTTGATCTTCTCCAGGGAGGCTGGAGTTTCATCAGGGCAGCAGATACTAACTTCTCCAGAGATGACCCACGAGGTGGTCATCTCCCCTGGACTCCCTACTCCTCCCTTGAGCCCTTTTAGCTCAGCAAGACTGCCATCTGGAGAGTTCAAGGTATGAAGATAAATGTCCTGCAGGCTGTGATAATAACAACACTGAGGCGGAGTGAGTGGGATTCAGTAAACAAGTGCTCCTCCCTGTGGAAAACTAAAGCATCACAGGCTATAGACGTGTCCTAAACTTTCAGCTGTTAGTTACATTACAGATGTGTATTTTGACTGATTTGAATGATTCTGCTTTTCTCTTCAGGTTTCCGAAGTGAATGGAAGCGGCCCAACAGCTCTCAGCTTTGGATCATATTATGGCCCCTCACAATTGCATGGTAAGAATTTTCACACATTCATACATTCATTCATTCATTCATTTAACTTTTGACTCTGGGATACATTGAGGTAGAGACCTCCCTTTTAATATAGCTGAGAAAAAAAAAACTTTCTGAGACACCAAGTTAAACACAAAGAAGAACTGTAACATTTGCAAAGAAGGAAGAGCAAAAGTAAAAGTCTTAGGAATAAATACAGTATCCAGAATTTAATTTTAAAGAAATAAATCTATTCAAACAAAAACAGCCAGAGTAAAAATAAGGTGAGATAAAAACTTAAATTACAGTAAGCCTAATAATTTGGTGGAGTTAACTGAGCTCAGTAAAAACAGTTGACACCTGCAGTGTAATCCATTTACTTGGGTGTGTTTGATGAGTCCACATTAAAGGACAGCAGTAAGGTGACGTAAGAGGGTAAAAGACCAATAAGAGCCATATCAGGTAATATATATTTTGACGAAAAAGCTTGAACCTCTGGGTTTATCGTGACGGAGATTGAAAGCTCATAAATGGTTTCATACTCCACCTGAAATTAACACATTTCAATAATGAAACATAAATACTAAAATTGCATTGTGGTGACTGTGACTCAGGTGGACTGTCCAATGGTGTCCATGGCTCTGCCACTCTACCACGCAGCTGGGCTCCCACCAGGGAGGAGAGGCTCATCAAGTTCTCTGGAATCGGTCCAGTGGATGAAACTGGGATGCCCATCGCCTCCAGATCTGTAAGACAAAACAAAGCCCTGCTCAAAATAAAACACAAGCTTTATAGAATTATTAAGACACTTTCATGCCTCCGCACCCATGATGGCCAGTTGCCGGAGGCATTATGTTCTCACGCTGACCGGCTGTCCCATTCTTGAGGAACACGATATCTCAAGAATGGCCGAAGGATTGTCTTCAAATTGGTGGTGTAAGGTCGAAGGGCAAGGTCATGGCTTTACAAAAATGTCTTGGTCTCTTGAACTTCATCTTTAAAGTCTGTCTTTGTTTTTTGGGGAGTTTCCATTTTTTGGAACATTTAGTTTGATTGACTGTTCAGATTTCAGTGGTCAAACTCAAAGGTCTGGAGTTATAGGCCTCCATCTGGTTGACGGAGGCCTATAACAACACATTTGTAGTCAACAGTATTTGTAGTTTGAATATACTCTTATTATATCCTACATGTTACATTTCTCAAAGACTTATTTGACAGGTTCTTTTACTTTCTGCACCTCCCCTCTCTTCTCATACCAGAGTGTGAACAAGCCCAGAGACTGGTACAAGAGCATGTTCAGACAGATCCACAAGAAGCCAGAGGGTAAGCATGTTCCTCCTCCTCCTCCTCCTCTTCTCACACACTCAAATCCAGAGTGAATTCCTCTCTGTCAGTGTCAGGTACAGCTGAGGTGATCCAGCAAACAGACCAGTGCAAAAGCAAAATGAAACATAATGAAACATCCCTAAAGTCTGATGTCATTTTTTTCATTAGATCTGACAATAATTCTGATCCCAGCCACTTGAAAATCTAGCTCCTCATTTTTCTCGGTCACATGTTGCGTAATAGAAACGTATTCCTCGTTACTTGTGTGGTTGATGGCACCATCAGAGCAGAGAGAAGGTTTCAGTGGGACGTTTCTGCCTCTGTGATTTGTCTTCTTCAACAATAACACATTTCACTGATGCTGTGTAACTCATCATGTGAACAAACCACTTGTAGAAGTGCTGGTGATGATCTCTGCTGGAGCAAAGCCGGGATCACTGTTGTACCGAGGTGAACCTTCCACTAAAGTAGTTAAAATAAACATTGGAAAGCTGCTTTTACATTAAGATATCAGCAGAACTAATATCTGCAGAATGACTGCTTTGACTCGTTTAAGTAAATAATCCTGCAGTGGTATGTTTGTTATTTGAGAAGAGAGTGATAAGAATTATAGAGTTAATATAAGAGAACATACTATCTGACTGTTCATCAAGTCACATGTGTTGAAACTTAACTTAATTTGAAAAGTCTATATGCACACTATATGCACACACTACATTTGTATCTATGTTCATGTGAAAATGTGGAATTTCCCAGTACAATTATGTAAAATGTTGCTCAAATATAATTACATTTTAGATTTAGATGTGTCTTCTTCCTGCTCATTATTCATTCATGGAATGTGAATAAGTATATTGTTTTGTTCTATAAATTTGTTTTTTTTTTTGGATGACACTGAACTAAGCTTAAACTAACACTAACACTAAAAGTGGGTTAGGTCTCACAACAAGAAAGAGTACAAGTGAATGTAAAACAATGATATTTTTATCAATTTGTCAAAGTTCTCAAAAAAGGGTCTTTTATGTATTTATTTAATAGAGCTGGAGCTGGAAGAGTCTGAGCAATGGTCAGCCGAAAGTAAGTGAATTCACCAAAGTCCACATTGTTGTCCTTGTCCGTGGATCCATAATCAGTTTATACTCAAGACTAATCTGCACTGATCTGCAGGGCTCCAGTTATCCGCCAGCACGGAAGAAAGCAGCGACACAGACAAGAATCTGTTCAGACTGACACCGTATGGAGCTCTACCAGACTGGTGAGTTTGCACTGATTTGATATGACTGCTTCAGGGTCACAGGGTGGATTAACATATCCCAGCATGCATTGAAGAGAAGACGGAGGCAAATTGCCAGAGCATCACACGGCACATGCCGACAGATTGACAATCACTCATTTTCAGGGCAATTTAATAAAGTTGTGAGTCAACCCGAGCAGCATATTTTTACACTGTGGTAAGAAAATTAAGCCCTGGGCCCCAAAGCATACACAGAGGAGTTCTCAGAAACAGGAGGCAAACTTTAAGGAACAGACATGTTGTCTTATTTTACTCTGGCTTAGAGGCTCTTGTGTTCTCTAAAGTATGAGTATATAACTACAGCCAGCATCCAGTTAGCTTAATTTAGCACCAAGACTGTAAAGATCTTAGACTGTATATAAAGATGGATGACATGACAGCTCCCCAAGAGTGGAGCCAATTGGCCTCAATCGCCACCTGGTGGCTGGCTGCAGTATAGATGAATAAATGAATTCCACCTACTCTAAGTCACAAAGACATAACTAAAAAGTGCATGTCCAATAAAATGTTCTCAAAGATGATTTCTGTCATTTTAGATAATTATTATCACACTGATGTTTGTTTAAGTCAGCTGATGTTTTCCAGTAAGTTTGGTTTTTAATTTGTTATATGATGCTATAAAAATGGGGTGAAACATACACAGCGCATATTTGGGATATTTCAGCTTCATTTCTAAATAGTGCAAGCGAGGAAGTTAAGATGTCATCCATCTTCATACAGTGTATATATTCTTGGGGTGGCTGTGGTTCTGGAGGTAGAGCGGATCATACTTAAACCAGAAGGTCAGCGGTTCAATCCCAGTCTCCCTCAATCCACATGCCAAAGTGCTCCTGACGGCTGTGGCACCAGTGTATGAGTGATGTGTGTTAGAGACAGTGTTGTGCATAGATGCACTGCATTAATGTGTGGATGACAAAACTGTATTGTGAAGTACTTTAAGTGGTCATCAAGACTAGAAAAGTATATGTACATATGGTACCACTGAATTTTGAAAGAGAGGAGTTTTAACATTATACTGATGTTTATTTTTGCAATAGTTTTCAATTTCTTTCAACAACTGCTTGTAGACTACACACACACACACAAACACACACACACACATATGCATTCAGACTTCTCATCAGATAAAGTCTGCAGGGGACGTCTTCACCTGAATACCAACCAAAACTCAGGCCAAGTGGAGGGAAAACGTGTGGGAGAGACAAGTTTGGATTTGTTTTTACAGGCGTTCACAATGAAGCCATGATTAAGTTGCTGTCTATGGTGTGTGTGTGTGTGTGCGTGGGGTGTTGTGTTTCAGGAGCGAGGATGTAGATAAGCTGTCAGACCTGGGAAAGCAGCACCCTCAGCCGAAGAGCATATTCGACTTTGAACCGGGAAAGAACAGCACTTCAGAGATCCAGAGCCAGGTACGACCTCACATGCAGTCAGAGTTAAAAAATAAGCTGTGATGTCACTCTGATTCCAGCAGAATAAAATGCCTCTGCGTGATCCTCTGTATTTCATCAGTGTTAGCTCCAATCACAGGAATTCTTCTTGTGGTCTTGCACTGTTTACTCCAGTGTGGATCTTAAAAACAGGTTTGAGGATGTGCACCTTTTCTTTAAGGATTAAGACTTTAAATCCTCGTGTTTCATGTTCTCACGCGAGCTTTCTAATGACTTGTGAGTGTGATCATTCACCAGTGTACCAGATGAGGTGTGCTCGCTCCTTTAATTCTTTCATTCATTTAGAGACAAGAAAAGACACGATCAGTATTTTTATTATCGTTTCTAGCCCGTGACACGTTGACTCATGCAGTATTTGTTTACCTCTGGGGGTAATTTATTGTCTCGCAGAAACTGTGCGTGCAGCCGCGTAGTTTCTCTGTGTTTAAACACCTCTCGAGTTTTTCTAACGGCTCTTGCAACATTGTCCCAGATCTGGTGCATATTGTTCTGTGTGTCTGCGCCTGTGAGTAAAGGAATCTTTGTTTCCACTCCCCCACGGGAGCTGAAGTGTCTTGTGATCTGTATTATGGTGTTAACCTCTTGTGGTGTATAATGGCTCACAGCATGGGGACTCATTTAATTTCCTCTCTATGACAGTGGCCAATGTTCTTTCCTTTGGACGGCATTGAAAAAAGAAAAAAGCGACCATATCAGGTGTTGTGCTGCTTCACAGGGACACGACAGTCTGTGATGGTGGCAAAGATGACTTCGAGTGAGGGGAGGGTCTTAGCATTCAGAGAGACATTCAGCCAAGGTTTTTACAGATAAAAACAATGAGAGCAGAGTATAAAGAGTATATTCATTTGCAGCACTAACTAACACTAACTTTTTACCCTAAATGTATTGTAGCTATTTGGGCTACTAGCTAGTATTAGTTTGCCACATTATTAGTGATATTTCTAAGGTATATCAAGCGATTATTCATTGCTGAAAAATAATACAACTATAATAATAATTAACTTCAACACACCCAACATTCAACCCAAAGTAATGCCCTTGGCTGTTAGAATACATAAAGTCTTGTTCATAAAACAGCCTGACCTTTTCATCATCCATGGGTTATTCCCTGAGAAAACTGTGAACATGTTTAAAATGTCTCACAATGCTAAAGAAAAATCCTGCATTCACCTTCTTCCCTGACCCACACGTCCTTCCACCACGTTTCATGGAGATCCGCTTTGTTTTGTTTTAATGTAATGTTGCTTACAAACCAACAAACAGATAGAGGTGAAAACCTAACCCATTTGGCATAGATCAAAAGTTATCGTAGCAGTATGACTGGGATTTAACTGTTAGAGTGACAAAGGAAAATATGAGCCCAATTGGTTGACATTGGTGAAAACTCCCAAACAATTTTTTTTAATGGGCCCCCAGAGGCTGAGACAGTGCCTGCTTGATAATCCAGCATTGGTTGGTAGGTGTATGTGAGCAAGTTCAAACACTAAATGTTGTTTTCTTTTTATCTCCTCAGACGTATTTGTCCCCGAAGATACAGCCTGAGAAACCAAAGTCTCCTTCTATTGAGGTGAGCAGCTTTGACTTTCATTTCTGTCTTTCTGGCTTTTTCTCTCCACCAAGATTGACATTTTTAAACGATTGAATAAGGGACACCATTAGCTCCAAACACCAGACTCTGTACTTTTGTTTTAATTGTTCCCCTTCCAACTCCACCATTCCTCTGGGCTCAGGCCAGCCTGGTCTCTGAGCTGAGTCGGTTTGAGGCTGAGCTGGACTCGGAGATCCAGGGCCTGGAGAGGAGGCTTTCCCAGAAGAAGCAACGTCGAGGCCGGGGTGAGGTACTGAGCCCCCCTCCTGACTCTCTCTGCTGAAGCATCCCTCCTTCCTCAGTTCTAGCAGAATCCCACCTCCACTCTCACCCCCCATCCCACTCCCAATGAAAGCCTGTGTGTCAGTGAGATCCTTCTGCTTGCTCAAGCTTTGATCACGTATGACATGTTTCTCCCTCTGTGACCTGGATGACAGCCCTGATATCGCCTGCCTGCCTTGCACTCCGATTGATCTGCTGTGTTAATCACCCCCCCTGCACGCCACCCACCCCCAAACAACCCACCCCCCCAGCAATCTTGCTGGCAAGGAGGAAGAACTTTTCGAATCAGTCAAATCATCAGCCTTAAATCCAAATTTTTGATTTTGAAATTCCCCTTGCAATCCTTCACCAGCTTGGATGTAACCCTGACAAAAAAATTGTTGTAGATTCTCATGCTGTGCCTGATTCTTGTCTTATCAAATCAGCTTCATGGGCTGAAATGTTTCTGAGATCACAGGCAGCCCAGACAGATGATGAGTGGTGCTGCTTCTAGCACAAGGAGGATAGGACCCAGGGGATTTCTTGCTCCCATGGGAGTGGTCAGCACCTCTACTTTGTCTGAGTTGTTGTGAGATTTCCTCCGAGCTGTGAGATACAGAAGTGCCGTGTGTTTAATGCTCACTCTGCTTGCAGGAGGCCAGAGGCCGGGATCCAGCAGCTGAAACTGCAAACTACAGGTCAGTGACAACATTCCTGAAGAAAGCAATGTGGTATGATCACTCCTACTGATAAAGAGTTTGTCATAATGACTTCACTGCCCCTTTAACCATGTTTTTATTATTCAAAATGCATTTTATACAGTAGATTCCATTGAAAGAGTGAAAACAAAGTGATTTTCTGCATTAATTGTGTTGTGTTTCATGACAGAGTGCTATTGTATCATTGTGCTCAAAGTTCGCAGATTACACATACAGGACAGTTATTAGTAGAGTCAGGGCCTTTATACTGACTATGAATGTGAAATGTTTCTTCTACTTATTTGTAGTTATTCTTAAGTTTTTCTTGTTTCTTATTCCTCTGTGCTGCCAGGATGTAGTTTATGCATCAACAAGTGGACAAGTGGAGTCCAGGGAGACGGACAGAACTAGTTTTAATCATAATTAAATGTAAATCCTATTTTTGATGGAGATGCATAGTAGCTATTAAAGTGGTGGTTGTATTATATGGAGACATGCAGGGCAGGTTAATGGGGAGGCCTGGGTCATTCTCCACATAACAGAGCTCCGAGCACAACAGCTGGCTTCTTAATCTACTTTGATTTCGCCTCATCAAGCAGAAGAAACTGCCCATTGCTTCCTGCTTTAGGAAACCGAGCACTGTGATTGGACCGAGCAGTAATGCTTTGCGGGCTACCTGTTAGTTGATCAGGTGACTCTCTGCGTTAGACGCTCTTAGGAGGCTGGTGAGCTGTAACAAGCTCAAGTACAGTATTTGTTGCTTCAAACAGCAGACAGCATTCCACATTTCTCACCATGTGTGTGTGACGCATTCTTGGCGGATTCTAGCTGTTGTTTGCGAAGTTGATCTCATGGGTTTTGACCTCACTGATGAGGTGGGACAAGGGGCTTTAACGTTTTTAAGAGTCTGTTGCTAAGGACGTATGATATTAAATCTTGCATCAGCGAGCAAAGAAACAGTCCATTTGTTTTTGCAGTTTCCTGTTATCCGGACGAGCTGTGTGTGTGTGTGTGTGCACATCCAGCTGCAGACCCTGGAATCATTTCAAACACTGGCTGGAAATATGCAAATGAGTTGGGAGGAAGCCCTGCAGGAAGCTTTTTTGGGGGGTTTTGGGTTCATTCTTAACTCAGGCACAAAAAAAAACCAGACTCGTGATTCTGATCATGAATTGAGTTTCACGGCTGTGAAGATAATTTATACTGCAAACCTCATCCAATCCAGATTCTCAGTTGAAAGATAACAACACGAGTCACACAGTATCATCGACACGTCCTTTTAGACTGTGTGATTGTTTGTCTCATCTCTGTCCAATGTATGAAATCCAGGAGCTGCAAACTTCTGCAGGAAAACCACACACACACAGACACACACACACACACACTGTGTGTGTGTCTGTCTGCCCTTTGAAACCCCTCTTCCTCATTGGCTGACACATTGACAGTAATGTAAATATCAAACACTAATCATTTCCTGACTTGTTCAGCAGTTCACCAGCATCACAGCAGCCTGTCCATCGCTCTGTCGGCACGTCACTGGCTTCTGCTTCCACATGTGGTAAATAAAGTTTGTTTTTCTCCTCAACACACATGCATATAAACCAACTGTTCCATTTGATAATGATTTTGAAAAGAACCCTTATTTAAAGTCTATTTCTGTCAGTACTCTCCACAAGTTTCTTGATCCCACACAAGAACACATGCACTTTCAGTGAGCCAGCCATCAGCTGATCAGGCTGCTTATGTATCTGATAAAATCTTGAAGTAAACTAATGTAGTCTGACAGTCTCAGGATCCTCCTTCATTGCCTCTGTTGTCTCCTGCTCTGGTATTTTACATTTTAGATGAGGCTGATGTGATCACGGAAAGCTTTTGCAGTGTTTCTCCTGTAGAAAGAGAAAGCGCTTCAGATGCAGATGGGTGTGGAGGAAGCCCACAAAAAAAAAAGGAAGTGAAACTCAAAAGAACTGATTACAGATTAGCTTTTTCCAATTGTTTTCCTGGAAATTGCAAGATCCCTTTAGAACTTTGGCCGTCAAGACTGTGACTGCATTTATAGCAACACGTTCAAAAACAACATGTGTGGAACAAAGTAGCATGTTTTAGACTCCACTCATTTCACTGTGCTCTACAGTAGAACGTCTCTCCCCTGCAAATGAAACCATGGAGCTGCCGCCAAAGAAAGATGAGAAGAAGGTGCGTTTGTGACCTTTGTGTGACGTGAAGGGCTGGGAAAGATTTTTGTTTTTGTGATCTGAATAGACCCTAAATTGCTCATATGATAAGGGCATCTGTTCAAATGACCGCTAAGTGAATTTGTTTGTTTTTTCCAGATGAAAGCAGCGCGAGCCAAGTTCAATTTCCAGGCTCAGTCCCCCAAGTGAGTTCCACTGTGAGCTGGTAAAATGATCGCACATGTCCTGTCATACGTACTCATCTACATCGCTGAAAGGAAGTATGAAGTTATGGAAATATCAGATTTAAAACTCTGGATTAAATCTAAATTCTCTTCTTTTCTTCAGGGAGCTCACACTGCAGAAAGGCGACATTGTTTACATCCACAGGCAGGTTGATGCCAACTGGTTTGAGGGAGAACATCATGGAAGAGCTGGCATTTTCCCCACATCTTATGTAGAGGTGAATTATTTAATGTCTCACATTTGATCTGCAGTGTGTTTTTTTTAAATCTATACCCATGTGATTAAAAACTTTTCTTCTTCCCCTCATAGATTCTTCCCCCTACTGAGAAGCCGACACCTATCAAGTCTCCCACTCTCCAGGTGTTGGACTATGGAGAAGCTGTGGCTCTGTACAACTTCAACGCAGACCTACCAGTTGAACTGTCTTTTCGTAAAGTGAGTAACCTCGCTGGTCATTGGAGCAGCCACAGACAGGAAAATGCTTTCCTTCCTCATCGAGAACTTACAAAGGCTGAGCGCAGCTGTTGCTTTACTTTATTACTTTATTTTGACAGTGCATATTTATAACATTTCTGAAAATATGTCCAGAGTTAGCTACAGAGGCTAAGTTTGATCTGTAGTCCCTGGGCAGGGAATAAAAGTGCATACATTAGGAATAAAACCACTGAAAATACAGACAAATATATAAGTAATGGAAACTATAAAGACACACATATCTGTCTTACATGAAAGCAAGGGCAACAGCTCAAGAGGAACAATGTGACAACAATAAACAAATAGCAAGACATCACAATATCAATATATATATATTTATATAAGACTTGATGCATGTGAACATTTTGCACAGATACATTGACCAGAGATTCAGCACAAGAATCACATGCAAGACAACAGATAACACAAAAACCTATTTTAGTGTTCACAGTTTTTATAATAAACCAGGCTCTTTATATGGAGGAGAATAAATGGTAGTTGGCAAAGTTTCTTATGTGTTAAAGTAATTTGATCCAATCCTGTGAGGCTCTGACAGATTGGCCCAAGCTAAACTGTTGACATGTTGTTGTACAAATTGGAGACATTGATGCTTGGTGATGTGAGCATGTTAATTAGTGAGTGTTGGAGGCACTGGTTGATGGATTAGCTGTTTCTTCCCCTTGTGCTGAGCTAAACTAAACGATTAATGACTCTGGCTTCAGTTGTGATATCATTTTTCTCATCTAATTTTCTGTAAGATTGTTCTTTTCATTAGTCATATATGTGTTTATGCCAAGACATTTTTGTGTAAATCTCCAAAAGTATAGTAACAAAATCCCCCAACTTGAGCCTCAGCTCATTAACTGACATTTAAAATTGTTATGATTTCATGGTAGTGATGACAAGACTCCACTGTATAATAATATCTGACTAATCAGTCATCACGATATAGCCAATGAGCGAGCCAATGGTATTGCATATTTACAGACAGGATGAAGAGTGATATGAATCTTTTTAATCTAATTCTCATAATAATAAAGTAATGAACATATTTCCCAAAATATTACACAGTTTGTCTTTTAAATTATTATTAAAACTAAAATTGGGAATTTGCACCAGGGGTACACTTATACTGTATACAATGTGGGAATGAAAAGTGGCTTCATGCTGTCAGAAACTAAAAGTTAGTAACAGTAAAGATGGTCAGAGTGAAAAGCTCCTCTGTGCAGATTTAAAAACATCCATAACATGTTCAGAGGTTTGCGATGTAAGACTGATGCTGTGGTCGTTAACTGTTTGTGTAATTGTTAATTGTTCAAAATCCTCTTTATGTCTCCTCAGGGTGAGGTGATCAATATTACCAGGCAAGTTGATGAAAAGTGGATGGAAGGGAGGATCTCAGGGACCAGCCGGAGCGGCATCTTCCCAGCCAACTACGTCCAGGTCAACAAGATGCCTCGCACCAAATACTCCACAGACGACTACTCACCAGGCCCCATGTCTCCCGTCTCCCCTGGACCCCAGAGTCCAGGACGTCCACTCCACTCACCCCGTTCACCATTTTCCCCCACCTCCCTCAGCCCCAGACCTGAGCACTCCCCCCTGAAACCATCTTCACCTGTACCTTACAGCTACCCAGCTTCACAGTCACGCTCCCCCACCCAGACAACAGCACCCAGAGAAATGGCAAATCAGTGGCCGCACAGCACCTACAAAACTGCTTCACCCACCAACCAGAACAACCACTGGGCTGGGACACACTTGCCAAACCAGAGCTCCGCAACCAGAGCAGTTTCCCCCTCCACTCAGTCCTCAGCATCTGCACACAGATCAGGAGCCACAGCAGCGAACACTTCCAGATACACTGAACCCTCGCAGGTCTGCTCTCACTGCCTCTCTGAGAAAGTCGCTGCATGTCCTCACCCATGGTGTTACTGTTTATGTTGACCAGAGTGTGGCTCATCATTCCTCATTTCGTAATTCATGACATGAGGTTTCTGTATTTTTAGGGTGCAATACCAAACCAAGCTGCTCCGTCTAATCCACATGTCAACTCCCTGCTGCAAACACACTTCCCAAACAACTCCACTTCAACAGTGGTGCAACGCCAACCGTACGTCTTGAGATTGAAATGTTCTTGTTTGCTCACATTGTTGCAGTGCAGACCAGTTTTACAGCTTTGTTGAAATTGTGGCTCGGAACACGTATTTATTTTATGTTCTTAATTTTAGATACAAAGCTGTTTACAACTACAGACCACAAAATTCAGACGAGTTGGAGCTCAGAGAAGGAGACATTGTACAAGTGATGGAGAAATGTGATGATGGCTGGTTTGTAGGTAAGAATAAAGAGTTATTTGAAAACTTTAACTCCTTAAATATATATCCTGTGAAAACCACATGGTGTAGGGGGCTTTTTTAAAAGATGGGTGACAAATGGAACAATTTCCTTATCATTGGTCCCACGATTTGTAAATTATTCAGGTGTTTCCTTTAATTTTTTTCCCTACTGTAGATTGTACAGCAATGTGGAAAGTGCACACACACACACACACACACACACAAATTATTAGATAAATAATAAGTATTTTTTCAATATAATCAGTTTTGTGGTGTCAGTAGCCCCTCTAGTGGAAACCATGAAACATTGCAGATATAATTGCCATGGTAAACTGTACATTGTTTTAGATTTTCAATATGTGTTTGAATGTGTGTGTTTATATTGTGTGACCACAACCTGTGCTCTCTTCTCTGTAGGTACGTCAGAACGGACTCGTGCTTTTGGGACTTTTCCCGGGAACTATGTGGCACCAGTTTGACTTCCAGGTTTCATTGCTTGCCCACGTCCATCTGGACTCATACGAGCTCAAACAATCACTGCCGCACACTCCAGCAGATCCTGCTCTGATTCCTACAGTTTCTCTTCATTCCGTCACCCACCACCTCACTCCTGCCTGGTTCAGTCAGACCTGCATGTTCCCTCTGCCTCCCAGAGCAGAGGTGAAGGCAGGGACGCTGTGTGGTGTCTCACCTCCCTGCATGGGTGTGTGCTTATGTGTGTGTGTTGCTCTGAGACTTGGAGAATGTTTTCATAGACACTATTAGAGAGGAAATAATGAATGCTGACGATACAGTTTCAGAAGCAAACGGCCGTTTTTGTTCCAGGAACCTTTGCTGCAGGAAAATCTGCATTCCTTCCCACTGAGCAACACGATTCCTTCCAATGTCCTCATAGTCAGGCTTTTGTAGTCACCACAGTACTGTCACCAAACCACTGCTGAGAATTTTGAATGAGAATTGGACATTTGTGTTTGTGCATTTGTTTTATACTAATGTTTCCTTCAAATATACCCCCCCAGATTTTCTTTCAGATCTCTGAAAATACCCTGGGCAAGATTGCAGAAACCACATGAACATCTGTAGATGTCGAGATAAGTTTACAGCCTTCTTAAGGCTTTGCAGAAGAGGAACTATAATTACAGCATGCACTTGTTTCGAAAAGGAAATGTGTTCATTATTCAAAGAGCTGCCTTTTTATGTTATGTTTGTCCATCAAGCTATGTAGTGAAATGCCAAAAGTGAAAAGTAAGAGGTGGATAATGGTCTTTGCTGTAAAAGTTGTACTTGATCATCTGTGTTGAAAAGCTTTAAGTTTATTCTTTGCCTCCACAGCAAACGCTTAATTGTTTTCAAGTAATGCTGTATGTGCCAAATCCAACCGTCCATGACATTAAGTTTTTTAATCCTGTATTGAGCTCCAGCCCCTGAATTTCTGCCACATTTGCTACCACAGCTCTCACAGTGTTTTCTCTCGCCGGTGCAGCCTTTGACGAGTGTTGTCTCTCTAAGCCTAATTACAAATCCTCATCACGAAGTCATTTTATTTGATATATTCATGATTTCACTGTTTAAAAAAATCATGTATAATGAATCATATATAGTAGACAGAGGTGGTGATTGTACAGACTGTAACATTTTATCCAATTAATATATATTTGCTTTTAAAAATCTGTATCTCATATGTATGGTACGTATTTTTTCTAAAGCAGTTATACATTACAGAGTGATGTTGAAATGAGTTTGTGTTCTTGTGTGTGTCTTTCTGTATTAATTCAACAACAGCATGGGTGAAGATGACTAACAGGAAATACAGATATTCATATGGAATCACATATCACATGACAGAAAAGTTTATTTATTTCATTTTGGAATTTTCAAGCTCATGAAATAGCTAGAAATGCTGCCCTGCAGTTGTGTGTCACCGCATGTCTACATACATTTACTTCCAGGCTCATCAAGGTCACTGTGACCTTTGACCAACCAAATCTAACCAGGTCATATTTGAGTCAAAGTGACAAGTGATCAGAATTTGACTTTAGATATCACGTTCAAGACCTTAGAGCAACCAAATCTAATCAGTGAGAGAATCTAAATGAACATTTGGTTGGACATTCTCTCCAGGGGTTTAAAAATAAACCTACTTTTTTTTAATGTAAATGTATGTATTTGTGTATAAATCAATGTATGTATTTATTGTTATTTCTCAATTGTTATCAAGTCACACACACACACACACACACACACACTAGCATAAACTAGGCTTAGCCGGGTGACGAGACGCGCCTGTGCTGCTCTGCTCCCCTCCACCAGTAGATGGCGCGCGAACACAAAACGCAGCCGCTGTGTGTTTTGTAATAAACGGCTCAATTATCACCGTCCTCCTCCCCACCTCCCCTCCTCCTTCTGTCCTTTCCTCCCCTCTCCTCCTCTCCTCTCCTCTCCTCTCCTCCTCTCCTCTCCTCCTCTCCTCTCCTCCCCTCCTCTCCTCCTCTCGACACGCCCCTCTCTGCTGCACGAGCTTAAACACCTTTATCCTGGTGGCAGACACATTTTATCGCGAACGCGCTGCAGTCGTTGATCAGCTGCGCGCACCCTCAGGTGTACTTGGTGCTCGCCGTGACGTGAGGACGCGAGGACGTGAAGCAGGAGACGAGGAGACGAGGAGTTCCCAGCTTCACTGCTGCTGCTGAGGGAGCTCTGAGTGTTTGTGTCCCGCTGAGTGGAGGCGCTGGTTGTTCGGTGCTGAGGTGAAGACTGTGTGTGTGTGTGTGAGTGAGTGAGTGAGTGAGTGTGTGGAGGACGAACACTGACGCTCAGCAGGTGGAGGAGACTCCTTCAGTCACACCGCCCTCACCTCGGTAAGTCTGGTTCAAAGTGTCTCAGCTCCTCGTACCTTGTGTTTTATGACATGGCGCCATTAATGAAGTTAGTGGTTTATTGTGATAACATATCTGTTCATGACAAGAGTGGGGACATTAAAGAGAAGATCAGCTTCATGCTGACTTGAGCAAAGTACCTTCATGCTCTCGTATCTGTCTAACGATGAACTTCAGTCTGAACTGACTTGGCAAACTTCAGCTCACACCAGGTCCAGGTTTCCAGTCTGCTCCTGAATATAGAACAGTATGAACTGAAATGATACCAAGATAACATGTTTATCACTTGATATTGATTATTAACGCAAGAGATGTCACATTAGTGTTTATTGTAAGTGTAAAGACTGATTTCTGCCTCTGATTGAAGGTTTTTAAACTCTTCTTTATGGACATTTTACAAATCTGAGGCAGATCAATTATGTGTTGGACCTCCTCCCTTTGCTTACACAATGCATTAGTTATATATCTAAATTTAAATAGTCTAATTTCCCAGATCTACCACTCCACTGTGACCAGTACTTTCTCATCGAGGGAACTGTTTCTCTGAAGTTTAGTGAGGTCTCAACTTCACTATGTCACCTGCCTTGAGATACTGTTGAGACAAATTGAACTGAATTGAATTAATTAAGCTCTACCCTGTGTATATATCTGTATTGAGAAGATGAGGTGAGGTTCAGTTTGCACATTTATATTGGTAGGACGATGTGTGGAGGGTCTGGACCAGCTGCAGCCTCAGGGATCTGTATTAGTGTTGCCTTAACGAACAGGTGATTATATTTTCCATTTTAACGTGGCCTGGTAAAGGATGATGACTCTGGATCGGCCAAGTCCACTTAAAGTTCAAGTTGAAGCCTTCACTTTTTAATTATTTCTCCCTGTTTCCATTTAAAATGTCTAGACAAAGGCTGGGCCTCCACTTCACCTAATCGAGTGTTCAAAAAACAAATAGAGGTGGTTTGTGAGCTCAGCAGGTGGGTAACTGCTTGAGGTGTCTCCTGTAACGCAGAACAGTCCCAGTGAGGCCTCGTGTTCTCAAACCCCCACCGCCTGCTGTTTGTCTAACTTCTCCTATGTGATTGTGCCCAACTGCCTTTTTAAAAAATGCTTGAGCTTTCCTCCCCTCACTTCAGATTGTGTTGGTTTCCTGATGGCTTTTCTTTTTTTCTCTGAGAGAGAGCGAGAACGAACACTATGTTTTTAGTCAGACAGGATAAAGTCATCCAGGAACCAAAACCAGACCACTGTAATTTTGGACATAGCAAAGCAGTGGCTTTTAGAGAAAATGGGTAAATGGCAGGCTTGTTACCTTCTAACTCCAAATTATTGAGTGTATGAAAATGAAGTTTTAAAGTACAGTTTTTTTTAATGAATTTCACTGTTTTCTTGTTATTTGGGGCCTGAACTGACTGTTCTATGTGATGAAGTCAGTTATCTTTGACATCAAAGCTTGTGTGACAGGACGTCTCTAACCTCCAAAAAATGTCTGAGCATCTCTATATGAGACAAATCTCTGCTGCAGCAGTATCTTCAAAGAGAGTGTGCACTTAATGAACAACATGGTGCTTGGTGTGTGCCTTTTTGTGCGAAGCGTGTCATGGTGCATGCAGAGGATGTGGTAAACTGTCCTGATTGCGGAGCAGCTGTGTGTGGAGTCTGTTCAGTGTGAACAGCAGTAATATGATCTGCAGATGATGATGATGCAGAGGGAGATAAGTGGAGCCAGTACCACAGTGTCTTTGCCTTGTTACAGCCAAACATCACAGTGGAGACAATCCAGTCCACTACAGCAGTGCTGCAGCAAAGTGGTCAGAATATTTCTTCAAGAAATTATAGATATTTATGGATGTGTGATATTTACAAAATGTATACCCTTAACTTAAAATTAAATTAAATGATAATTTTGCGATTAACTTGCATTACAGTGAAATAATTTCACTTTTGTCAAGTAAAGAGAACACTGGGACAACAAAGTAGGGGGCTGCAGCACCCCCTATTAGTGAGGGTCTGTAGCTGCAATTTTGTTTTTGTAAAACAAGCCTATTTTGAATATTTGATCTAATTTTAGTCCATTTAGTATATCTGTGGATACATATTTGTGTATCTGATGACTGACTTGATATAGATTAAGTTAGGCACCACCTCTGTTGAAAAATACCTGAATATGGTTCTATGCTACTTTGACAAACCAGCTTACATACAAGCTGGTGTTTAAATTTGCTGTTGGTTTTTCTAAAATGTTGTTGGCCATTCAAATTAATATAAAAATCCCAAACGTTGATCTGCTGCACTGCATTTATGATGTCATTACATAGACTTTCTCTCTGCACCTTCAACTCTGTCATACTGTTTCACGACTAGAGACCGTAGAAATATTTGTATTGTACGTTTCAGTCCTGGTTTCAGAATCGTCACTCGCCTGCTACAGGAGCACACACCCTTACATTTTTCATTGAAAAGGGAGTAACCCACAAAAATTACACACCTCAGTCTATAATTATCTTGATGATACATGGGCTATTAGTGATAGCAGCCATTTATGATGATGCAGAAGCTTGTCAACCAACACCCCTTTGACATAATTTGTTATTGTTTTGTTATTTTCTCATCTCCTTGGTGACTGCAGCTACATCTGACCAGCTGGGTGTGATTTTTGAGAATGTACAGAATGTTGCAGCAGTGTGCCCGGTCCAGGGAGAGGCTCACTGCTGCATTCTTCTTCTTTTTTTATTCAGTGGGTGTGTGTGTCCAGGTAGGTCTCGGCCAGCCTCTGCACTGCGTGACACACAGGGTAGAGTCAACAACAGCCGGCCTCATCACTGACGTGGGCTGTGAAAGGTTCACACTGGCATACGGCCACCAGCGAGAGCTTTGACAAGTGTGATTCATACCAGGAATATTCCCCTGCAGCTACAGTGGTTCATCTGAGCGCAAGTTTTCAGTTGAATGTACTGTGTCTGCTATGATCATCAGCTATTCGTTCAGTATTGGCATGCCGGAGAGTCCATGCTTGTTCATTTCAGTCCAGAAGATGTTGGCTCGGAGTTCAAGGAGAAATAAAACTGTCTCAGTTAAATACTCTGGTGATTCAGGGAAGGAGGTGAAGAGTGGATGTAGGTGGCCAGGTTTGGCTGCCAGACAGTTTATTACTCTGAGGAAGCAGTGATCCACTTACTAAACTTAATACCCTTCAGTTTACATGTTTTCTACTACAGTGCATATGGTACCAACTTGTTTCTCCCCAATGTTTCATTCCTTGGATTTAATGAGGTGTTCTCCAGATTAGCTTTGTCAAATATAATGAAAGTTATGACACTTAAACATTCTTTGCATTTAAAAAAAAAACAAGAAACTAATATAACTGTCAGCTGGTTGCCGTAACTCTGTTGTGGCAACGTGCAGATCAAAGTTAATGACTCATCTGTGGTGAGTCAACATTTTTGCTGCACACGGTAGATTACACCATCTTGTTTCAGGCTTGTGTTAGCAGGTTTCACTCCTTCTGCTCAGACTATACTTTTTAAGTACACATTACAGTAAACGTTCTAACATCAGTTCAGTCTTACTATTTGTTTACGAGCCTCCGAGTAAGGACACTCAGGCTTGCGGCCCCTCATCACCAGGGAGTTGCGCTCAGGCTTGTAGTGAGCGTCTTCTCTTATTTCTTGTCAAAGACAAATAAGAATACCTGTAATACTGTTTGCATTCACTCTCAGAAAATTGACAGCAAACACTACATGACAGAGTTTTTATTTGTGATTTGTGCTGTACTACTTAACATGTTTCAGTATCTTAAGAAGCAGCATTACTATCAGCAATGTTAGAAACTTGTAGAATATCAAAATAATGTTAATTCATTACATTAATAAATATT